CTTCAAAGAAAAGCCTTCTGTGACACTTTTGTGCATTTTTAAATGCACTTGTTAACCCTCCTGATATGTTTTAAGAGTCAGCTATTAATCCAGGCCTCTACTTTTCACCCCCTTCTTTTAATTACTAAAGGGGAAATGGGTAAAGAATGCATTTGTTTCCATTGAAACAAAAGTCTTAAAGCCAGTATCTTCTAAAAGGTTGTTATGAGTTTTCCTCACCACTATTCACATATGCAGAATGGTTGAAAACAGTGGTGTAAGCGTAAAAAGGGAACTCTTATAAACACATTAAGCAGCACAGCTCCCCAAGTTACTCATGTTTACAGTAGCTGGAAGTCTGTCACTAACTGATTATTTCAATGATCTAGTATCACAGACCTTCAAATGAAAAATGAAATACAGAGAGCATTGTATTAGAATACACACTCATTTCAACTATGAGGATTGAGGGAAGAGAAGACCACACATGCAAATACATACATCTCCATGACAAACTTGGTCAACTCACACAATGTGGACAGAAAACAGTCAGTCCAAAGACCTCCTAAAATTAAAATGTACAGACAAAATAATTATTTCATTGCATTTCTTCCTCCTACCCAAGCAGAAAATTCAAATTTTAAAGCTTCCCAGAAAAGAATTAATTCCCTCCCAAACCTTTTAGCAGCCTAAGATACACTTGCCAGAACTTCAAGGTTTATAGAAAAAAAAATCATGTTCATATTATATGTATTTTTGTATTTAATTCTGGCATGGCCACCCTTCTCAGCTGGTAAAGCTGTCACACTAGATAGAAGGCAGCATCTATAAGAATGACAAACACATGGGTTGAAGTCAAACACAAGCCAATCACTGTCAGAGCATGAGCCAAATTCCCACATTTCAGTCTCACCAACATTCCATCCAAATACCAGTATTGGATTGAATACCAGTATTGAATAGAATCAATCCAATTCAATCCAAATACCACTTATTAACAAAGCAAATAGCGGGAAGAAGCACTTTGGTTCGTTTTTTGTTTATATATATTTTTATAAAGCTGATGGAGGTTTCTAGATTAAAACAACTATTTCCACAGTTTCTGCGGTTACAACAATGCAAAACGCCTCTGCACTTATAATAAAGGGAACATTTAACAATTAAATTACGCCAGCAAAAACCAAAGCTTAGACATTTAGAAGTCCTACTGCTTGCTTGCTAACCAATCTGACAGTGGATTTGAAGACAGCTAGAAGAAATCTCAGGCCAACGAGATCTTGGGTAAATGTAATCCTGGTCCCACTGTGACTGGAACTCCATTGGCCACACTCCACAGGACAGGCTTTGATGTGAGGCCTGCGGATTCACACAGAAGATGACCCACCATCTTTTGTTATTTTCACATTGTGATAGTGCAATAACCTAACATCTGCAGGCTTCAAACCTGAGCCACTGAAGACTGCAAACTGTTTCACAGCTTATGAGGTGCCCCCTTTGAAAAATGGCCACGTACTCTATAATCATAGAAAGTATCGAAGTGAAAAGTATGTAAGATCTCACTTCGATACATTTGGTGACAACTGAGCAGCAGTATTTCACAACGCTGCATCCAACCTGCAAATTCAGTCTCTTTTTCCTTCTCTGATGCTTGTCCGGATAATATCTTGCAGGGTTATGGTGCCTCCTAAACAGCACTCGGGGACAGAAGTTGAACAAAACTTTAAAGTGTTATCAACCTACAAATCCAGAAAAGTTAGTACTCAAGTTGTATTTTCCAGCAGCAATCTCTCACTTTCATCCTGGTGGCAGTGATTTCCCACACCTTAAAAAAAGCAACTAAGCCAGAGTCCAATAGGTGTCCCAAACAGTAATTGCCTCCAACATCTCAATGTGGTAGAGACACATTCCTATTTTTTTTTTTGTTTTAATTATTAGGGCAGATGTTCCTTCTTTCCCTGCACCGTTATCAGACCACACTTTCCACATCTAACACTCTGCACCTCTTCTTCCAGCTTCACGCAGATCATAAAGCACCTAGAACAAAGAGGCTCTCATGTAAGCTATTCCTAAGCAATTTGCTAGAAAACAATGAAGTCCCATAGCGCACTACTCTCCCTGCAGAAGCATTTCACCTTGTGTTACCTCATGTTGATTCTTCTTGCTGATGTGCTGTTTATATAGCTACTGATGTCACTGTAGAAACAGATCCTCATAAATCCTTTTAATTCCTGCACATCCTTTTAAATGTTTCTACGTAGGCAGAGCAAACAATATTGTCCTCATCTCCAGGTGACTATCAAGTCATCTGTTTTCCTGAGGCTCCAAATCAACTTAGACTTTCATCCAAAGTTTTTCCAGTCCAGCATTCAAGATGCCATCATGATGACATTACAGCAGTTTGCTCAGTAGCAACAATATCCTCAGTATTAAAGTCTGTGGCTTTAATATAGTAATACCCCTCCCTGATATGTTGAACAGACCGAGGGTGAAAGGGGACAGGGACCCTACAGCTTCCTCCAGCAACGAAGGTATGTAAGAGTTCAGAGAGCAAAAAGGAATAGGGCAATAAAAGTATACACATAACCAGCTATTATTTTGATGCAGATGTTTCTGCCATGTACTTTTTCTGTAATCTTAACCCTTTTACTTTCTAAGAGCAATTTATCGGGCTACTGAAAAGAAAGTCTCCATAGTCAAGGACAAGCTGAAGATACAAAAGAAAAATACCTCCATATGGCAGGTTCTTGTGAGACTAAGCATGTTGTTCCCCTCCAGAACAGGGAAGGGAAAAAAGGTTCGGTATCATCACTACCTTTTTAGTCTTTCATTACATTGGCAAGAAATTTAAAGTTAACCGACAGCACTATTTGTTTCCCATCACATAGCTCCCTCTTCTAGCTAGACAAGTCATTCTCTTCACCAAGTATCAAAAGCAGGGCCTGTACAAAAGCCACTATTTTGCTCAGCGGTGTTTGGAGTAGCATGGTCCTCGGAAAAAGCCTGGAGAGCTGTTCCAAAAGCACCTTAGCCACTGAAGTCCAGTACAATACACTGACAGCCACTAGACTGACAGCACTTCAGTACATACTTCTATACAGAAAAATGTCAAACGGAGACCAATTGTCTAACCCAAACAACAGATGTAGTTATAAAGTCTGGTTTGCACAGCAGAGTATCAAAGTATTCATATTCGCTTACAGTCTGACAATCAAAAAAGTAGAACTGCAAAAAACATACTACAAAACAAGACAACCAATTTTAGACTACACCCACTTAGGAGCCATGTGTTAACCATATTGCACATGCATACAAACTGTGTGGGAACTCAACCCGTTCGAACAGTGCTGTATTTTGGCAAAAGCCAGTAGGATAGAAGGTCTGCACCAGAAAGAAAAGGAAATTTTGGCATTAAATAATCTAACTGAATCTAAAAGGAGAAAAAAAAAATTCTCAGTTTTGATGCAACTATCTTAATACTACCATTACTATATGCTAAGGAAGCCTATAAGCAAATCTGAATACACATACGATAAAAATTAATTTGTTACCATGACAGTCATTTTGACATAAGCAAGGTAAGAACAGTGAGAGAAAAATAACAAGGAAAAAACCCAGCACAGATTAGATTTGGAAGGAAACAGGAGGGAGGATGTGGAAACAGAGGACAGATGGGGAAGTGGGCCAACAAGCTTTTAGGATAGGCCTGTGTGATTTCCAACACAGCAGAGAAGATTAATTGCATAGTGTTGTCTAAGCTCTTCTCAATAAATTTTAAGTCATGGTATAAAGCTATGCATACATTCATTATAGCTATACTATAAAATACCATTCTTATTGATTTGTAACGATATAGTGTAAATTTCATTTGAAAAAATTGCAGTGATCTTCATTATTTATTTATTTATAGTTTATTTGCTGTTACTCAAATATAGCTGCTGAGCTCAGCACAGAAAAAAGTAGTATTAAGCACTGGATTAAGTACTGTACATTCTAAACATAGAATGAGATTTTAACCAAGGACTTCACAGTACAAAAATGCAGACCTTTAACATTCATCCATATCAGATAAGAGTATTTAAGAGAGAATCAAACAAATGGAAAGGATTTCCTTTCCTTAAAGCCTAAAAGATGTAAGCTTAAGACAGCTATCCGCTCTGCACACACCTTTAATTTTCATCTTTCTAATCCTTGCTGTGCAAGTCTCATTAAACTCCCTTAACCCCTCTTAAATTTTATATAAATTGTACCCCTAGCTACAAATTCATCTCCCTATATGTAACCTAGCTATAAGACAGAATCTAAGATTTCCTTCTGTAATAGATGCTAAAAATGCTTTAGAATATATTACACACTGGAATGTGTATTCAAGATCTCACTTCTGTTAAGAAATTATGTTTAAAATTATGTTTTAAATGAAATTTAAAAACAAGTATAGTCAATTAAGGTTGCACATAGGCTCATGTCCCTCCCACAATGAGCTAGCCCATAATGTGTGTTCTCATTGTTCTCCACAGTTTGCAAGACAAGGGAAAGATGCAAGTTTAAAAAAAAAAAAGGCACAAAGAGCAAACTGAACAGAAAAGATTCAATGCTAGGGTACATCTCTTATGCTAATTGCCACTAATAAAATGGAAAATTTAATAAGCAGATTTTTAAATTACAAAACTGGTATAAAATACCTCGTTATCACAAATTCTGTGGCTTTGCTTGTTCTTTCACCAGACAACCTCCTCCAGATCAGTCACAACCACTTCTCCCCACCCCTTTTTCTTCTAACAGCGCAGCAGGACGGGCAGAGAGAAAATGAAGCAAGCGGCCTGTGGCCAGCACTAGTCTTAGTTGAGACCGGGCAGACCAGCTTTCAAATCCTTTACCGGACCATGCAAACTCTTCCAAACACCCCTACAAGGAGGAGCTGCGCCCCAAGCAGCCAGCTCCCTTATCATCGGTTCTGCAACCGCCATCACCAAAACACGGCTGACGAAGCGCTCTGCTCGTTAGAGCCGATCCTTCTCCCGCACCCTCGGCCACGTGCGCTCCCCTGAGGCCCGGGCAGTACTTGGCCGGCATTTGCAGAGCATTTGCTGCGTGCAGGTTCTCCGACACATCTTCACGCCTGGGCTGTGACTGAGGCTTTACCTCGCATCTCAGTCCGTACACAGCAGCTCCCCCGGCGCGTAGCCACTGGCAAGCGAGAAGGTACAAGCCGTAACTGAAGCTCTTGCCAGCGTGTACATAAAGAAGATTTCTTATCAATGGGTACTCTTTTCTTGTGCAAGATACAGCATAAACAACCCAAGCTCTCCCACACAACCACCATTTCCAGGCTCTCTCCCCTCCTTTGTCAATCATCTGACAAAGGTGCAAACTCTGTGCACCTACAATACTGATTCCCGCTGTTCTGCAAACACCCCTCCAGCCAAGTACTGCCACACCAGAGGTACCCCAAGAATTGCATCTACTGCATAAAGCGTGCCAGTACTGCCCCATGCTACTGCAGGGTAAAATTGAGATCACAAACCAATCTTCCGTCTTAATTTTAAACTAAGTCTTTTTGCAATAAAGCCAGCGTATCGCACGGTACTACTGGGCCCACACAACAGCTGTTCGTAACAGATTCTAAACTATTTTTCATCCTCTGACACTGAAAATAAGATTGCCACCAAAGCTAATGCTTTTGCAGCGTCCCTATTGCTACTGCTCAAGCAACAAATATTACTCAGCTAAAGTCCTGACCAAGAGAAAAACATATCTTTTGCATAGTCTGAAGTGTTGTTTGAAGCATTTCAATAGATAAGCTAGTCTTACAAAGGTTGGTATATCTAAGTGAAAACAGACTCTACAACTTTCACATGGAATAACAAGTGTGGAATGCAACACCCCCAAAACCAGGAGACTTTCAGCCAATCTGTATCTGCAGCTGATAATGCCCACACATACAACTAGCGTTTTAGAGCTTTTACAGCAACTGCAACTGGATAGAGAATTTAAAACATTTACATTTGTACTCATACGATGATATTTTAGTAGCTGAGCTATACAGCACCTCATGGAAAAATCAAACAAGATTTTACCTCATTAGTTTCCATAGTTTTTAGTTTAAATCCATCTCTATTTTGCTCCAGCAGTGTTACTACACCATACTGATATTTTTACAGAAAAATAATATAAAACTACCAGAGCCATTAAGCCAGTGCTTTGAACAGTAAAGCCAAACATAACTATTCCTTTGTGGTGGAACAAACAACTGCAATCAACACTTTTAAAATGCTGTTTACATGAACACAGAAGTCTTTACTCAAAAATTAGGAACACAGCTAGACGAATAATCTAATTTTCAAGTACAAATTCATTTTGAGGAAAAAGTTAGCTGGCAGCAGCCACAGGTTAGAGCTTGAAACCTAAAAACCTTATGTGAATTTGGCAGTAATTAAGAGGCACGTCCAAGACATCCAGAGCACACTGCAAGCTTCTGCTTCTGTCCCCAAAACATCCCAGACACTTGCTGATACTGACACCAACAGCCAAGCTGCTGTGCACAGGCATTAGCTAGCTATGAACAGGGCGGGGGAATATCAATGGCCTAACAGGTATGAGATTGTAAGTCACCTGATTTATATTTCACAAGCAGAAGACAGGAGAAGAGCTCTACAAAGAAATCCTAGATTTGCAGAAAAACTTGTCAGAAAGGTCAGACGGTACCTTTACATGCCACCTAGCCAAATCTCTAGCTCAGATCAGGTTATGTTTCAAAGATGGAGCGAAGTGCTAAGTGCTTTACCCAATTTAGTTTCAAAATTCCCAGGGACAGAGATTCCATCCAATACACAGATAATTAACGTAGCAGGAAGAAAAAGAGAGTGGCTCTTTTTCAAAGAGGAGCTAAGTTAATTCCAACAAATCAGGTATTACAAGACAGTCAAAAGCTTCTGCATGCATACCCATATTGGCCTCCAATGGAAGTGTGGCAACCTGCCCCTAGGACAATCATAATTTAAATTAGCAGACAGCACATTGTGCTGTCTGCTGCAGCCAACTAACTGATAGCTCTGGTGCACAATTACTTTCAAAGGAAGCATAAGAATTTCTTACCTCCAGGCCTGTATACAACATCATCCTCTGTGATAAAGGACGTTATTTCACCGTTGTCTGTTCTCTCATATCGGGACTTCTTCTTGGGTGGTTTCTTTTTGCTCTTCTTCGTGGACTCCTCTGTGGTGGCACTGTTGTTGTCATTGTCCTCATCTTCACTATGGTCACTTTCTGCATAATTCTTGGCACCTCCTTCCAACGTACAGCTCCGTCGAGGACGTGAGTTCTCACTCTCCCTCACCTTGTCTCTCTTGTCTCGCTCCTTATCCCGGTCTCTATCCCTGTCCTTCTCTTTGTCTTTGTCTTTTTCTTTGTCCGCTGTCATGATTCGCCACGTGCCTTCTTCTGTCCTCTCACGGCTGGGCCTCCGTGAAAGGTAGACAGTGAGCCTGGGCTTCAGTCTTCTGAATTTCTCACTCAAATCCAGGAAAAATTCAACCACTCCAACAACCCCAGCGTTTTAAAAAGGTTCTTGAAGGGGTGGGGGGGGGAGAAAGAGGGGAAAAGCCCATGTTAATATTCAAAATTCTTTCAATTTCTGAAAATAAAAATTAAAAACATAGAAAACCCCACATCCTAAAGCAATCCAGTATGGAAAACACAAGACAGTAAAATACAAGGTGGTCTTTTGAAGCAGTCGTAGAAATAACTTAAAGCGTCTGTAAAATGTTTGAAGCTATCTTCATCCTCAAAAAGACCTCACAAATCCTTTAAAAAAAAAATTCTTTTACTTACTACAGAAATATATTAACCGCCTGGATGGGACGTGCTCACTGAGAACACATATCATTTTATACCTAAAGCTGAATAGGAAGCATGCAAGTAAGGAGGGGAAAAAAAAAACCCACCACATACACATTTAGGAAGGGATAAGTGCAATAAAGGAAAAGTCTACAATTTTTGTTCTCTAAGCAAATGAAAAAGTTTAGCAAATGGCTGTGTTGTTTTACATCTCAACACCACTAGCAGGGAATGCCCTACAAAGCTGGTACAGAGTAAAGAATACCATCTGCCACCTCCAGGGCAATCTGTTCGGAAGTCTTCCCCCTACCCCTGCTTTTCCAAAAATAGAGCTAACCTGCATTCCATAGATTACAGTAGTCAATTAACTGAAACCAAACCACAGTAGTTACAAATGCAGTAACAAAATCTGCTTTTCCACATATCAAAAATATGACCTTTCATGCTTGCTTTACCAATAATAGAACACATGGAGATGGATTTTACAAAACTCACCACCTTCATACGTT